GCAGTCACGACGAACCCGGAAATACAAAGCTACGTGTCACTCGCCCATACATCATGGACTAGTAGAAATGTGATACAGGGATAGGGGGGGTTTTTTTGACTAAGACTGCAAAAGGGACGAAAAAGAAAAAGAGGCCTTTAGGTATAGAAAGAGGGGATTTCTTAGTCATAGGTCAGAGAGGAAGGTTGTTTTTTTTTCTAAAACATTATTTATATTACAGATAACGCGTTCGCTTGTGTATATTACGTAATCTTACACGTCTTACATATCTTACATGGCACATATGTAAAGAAGTTTCCCGAATTTTTTTTTTACGTATTCTTAATCACGTGATTATAATAGTGATAGTCACGTAGTAAAAATTACGAATTTGCAGATTACGTATTATAAACCACGATTTACTGTATATATAGTCGGAAATTTCACTCTACACTCGTGATCCCAATGTTTCTGCATCAAATGATTTCTTTGGCAATCGAAGCAAATAGCCATATGACTTTTATGGATTTTTGGCCTATAATACTGTAATTGAAATTGACAAATTTACCTTTACCAAACGATGCGAATAAACATAGCATAGCCGGTGATATACACTGAATTTCCCAGCATTTAATAGATTCTGTAAAGATACTCTGACCCGTATTGCCCATTGACATTGAACCGGTGTTTCATTCTGTTTTATGATAGACAATGTATCAAATAATCTCTCATTATTGAATATGACACGATATTTATGTATAAATTGCTCATGTAGTGTGGATATATTGTGTATATATAATGGCGGAGCTAGTGTCTCTGACACATGTGCCCATATATTTTTTGTATCAATAAAGTGGGCCTAGTGGGTCGATTTCGTATAATTAATTGTGTTTACTTCTTCAAGATTTATTTTATTGTATTGATATCGGTGTATATGATCGGGATTAATGTATCCTAATAGCCCAAGTATTATTTGGAGAAAAGCCGATAATTGAATATCGTCCTCCCTTCTTGAATGGATTAGAACTTGATGCCTTCTTTCAAAAATATCAAATTGCATTAGAAGTGCGAGGGAATCAACATCGGCTTCATCACACCAGCTGGTATAAAGATGTCAAGAAACTCAAGGATATTGTTGATCGTGATCGGAAGAAAAGATACATGTGCCAAGATAACGGAGTTTTTCTTCTTGAGGTATGGTATGATGAAGCTTCTAAAATTTTTGATCTATAAATTGCAGTTACTGTAAGTATCTAATATACAGTATATCTGAAAAATAAAGTGAATTAATGAATACGTATAATAGCACGATACGAACGCGACCACGTGGGATCCGGTTTCACACTAAGTCGTACCAAGTCGTAAAAAGTAAAAATGCGTGTCTAATATGATATGATTGGCACATCGATATACCCCTTAATCAGATAAATACCGGACGACGCGTAACGCGTACAGTAACTTTTTCTTTTTAACACTATGAACTTTTGGGATCCCTATTTTGATGAGACTCCTGCCAAAAATTGGTCCACTTTTCAGTTCCATAAAAATTGGGTCAATGTTCACAAAAATGAGCCTGAACAACTAACTTATAGAAAGGCCATGGACACGTTTTTTAAGAGTCTTCGTGCGATCATCAACCGAAGTTCTGATCTCCCAAAAATTTGGAAAGCTAACGAACTTTTAAACAGCTGTCAGGCAAGTACTATTTCCACGTAGAGAATGCCCTCTGCAGTAATCTTCTAGCTTACTGCGGTTGACCACAACAAGGAAGACATACCTTTTAGCTATCCTTCTGATGATCTTTTAGATCGTTGTGGTTGTGGCATCCATAACAAGGAAGACACAACTTTTAGTTGTCCTTCTGATGATCTTTTAGATCGTTATGGTTGATATATTAATAGCATTTTTTAGTAGCACGCTAAAAGCTTTTTAGATATATTAATCGCATTTTTCCTTTGCCCTTTATGTCAGAACAAGAATCAACGTAAAGCAGGAAGCAACATGGATAATTTATGGCTCGACATTGGAAAAACTCTTAAAGAAAAGAATATTAACGTGGGAACGAACTACATACAGCTTGTTTCTTGTGGAAGTGTAAAAATCGGCGATATTGGGATAAACAGTCATTAGAGATACCGATAAAAAAAGGACCTAATGAGTTGAAACAGCGATTGGGTATATGCGTTATTTAATATTTTTGCAGTGCCTTGTTATTTTGCCTTTATTGAATATTACATCAAATAGATTTTGAAACTGAAGATAAGGAGAACACGGTTGGTGGTTCATATAAACGCCGACGTACAGAAGGCGGAAATCTGGAACATTCGGATAACGAAAACTTTCTTAATGCTGTAAAAAGTAATGATAACGAGAATGAATTGGAAAGACAAGCCGAGGAAACCATCCAGTATAATGGAAAAATGTGGATCGTAGGTAACACGAAAATCAATATTCGTGATGTATTAACGGAATGGCAGAAGCGAATAGGACGACCGCGCGCCGAGTAATTATTTTTTAATAATATGTTTAAAATGCGATATGCTGAAAATATCTGTTGTACTGATAATGGAGAATTTTAGTCTAGCGTTTTATGATATTATAGACCTTACTCCCGGTTCAAATAGTGACTTTATACGATCCCTGCCTATTGACGCAATGTATGAGATGAAGCAGTTTGGATCAGAAGAACAGCAAACTGTCACGGATAATGTGAAAGAGCTAATTATTAAATTCATTAAAGTATATAGGGTTTATTCTTCGTTTCATTATGTTTATTCAAATCTATCTGTTTGCATTCTTTTTTTAAAAATTTCCAATTAATTTGATAATATAGGCGGACGACTTACGCAAGATTGTTGACGAGAGCTATCTAGAAACCCGAAAAAATGATACTTTGAAATTCGTATGGGACTTTACGAATCTTCTGTAAGAACAATATAAGTTAACTTTGTATTTGTTATTTCCTATGTCTCACATCCAAGTTCTTTTTCACAGTGCGGAATCAATTGAAAGAGACGATGACCTTGCAGACTATGATTTGTCCGAACTAGCGTACCGAGAAATTTTTTTGGCACCTGCTATTCGTAGTTTGTTC